CTCGGGCCCCTGCCGGTGCATCGCCACGGTGCCACAGGCTACTCCGACGGGACGCAAAAGCCGCTCTTGCTGTAACGCTTCGGTGTCTGGTTTTGCAAGCTGAAGTGTCTCAGGTGACATTTGGGGGGACGCAAGCCAAAGCCGACTCTCGGGGTACAGTCACGTGGAAAGTTTGAGAGCTGCAGCTCCAGAGAATACCCCGCTGCACCCCTCTCTCTCTTGCACCTATGAATCCTGGCTTGGGAGAACAGCCTCAGGGTACCCTAGCGGCTTTGAGTCCAATGTAGGGAGATGGGGGACAGGTATACTGCCCTGGGAGTGAGCAGGGTCTGGTTTCTCCCTGGGCTCAGTGGGCCTTGGTTAATCACAGAGCTCATGCTGTAATGAAAGAGCTGCTGGGGGGCTATATTCATAACGGATGCGGCAAGCATTGATTGTTCCCCTGGGGGCAGAGCTGGGAAGGTTATTCCTTCCCCCTGTCCCAGACAGCCCGGGCACTATTCTCCACCACCACAGGGCAAGGCTACAGGGATAGCCCAACCCCCACTCCGTCTCTAGGGCTATGGGATTGGCCTCTCCTTTGGGAAGCAAGGCTCTGGGATTGCCCCATGTTCCAGGGCCGATTGCCAGGTGACACGGGCCTGCCCTCAGTTCCCTGGCCCAATGCCCCATGGTTATCATCCAGTCAGACCCACCTCACACCCCCCACTGTACTGCTCTCCATGAGTTTGTTTGAACTAGAGGGCACGCACCCACGTGCACACACGCACACCGTGAATTGTTACGATGGCTAATTACCTTCACTGCTAAAACGTGTGTCTTGTTTCCATGCACGACTTGTCTAGCTTCCACTTCTGAACCTGCTCTGTAGGCAACAGACTGGGCCTTTCACACAAGGCAGGTTTGCCACACTTTTAGTCATGCTCACACTTCTTCCCTCACCTCTTTCTGATGTATCCATGTCCTGTTTGGTTTGTTCACACCAGACCGGGACACGGTGAGGATTCCCTGTTCTGTTCACTCCCTCTGGGGCACCTGGCATTGGCCGATGTCTGCAGACGGGACACTGGGCTAGATGGACCTTTGGCCTGACCCAGGCTGGCCGCTCTTGTGTTCTTTGTTCCTGGGTGTGCAACTTCGTAGATGGCCATATTGAAATGTGTGGTCTTTGCTTGCGCCCAGCTTACCAAACCATCCAGATTGATTTCTATCTGTGACCTGCAATTTTTAATTTCAGGGGAGAGCGGTTGTTATAACCACTTCCCTCTCCGATCTCTGTACCAGTGGCAGCTGCACCAGTATTTGAACTCTCCCGCCCAGGGTGCCTGCTCACACATGGAGGGGAAGCTGGAGGGGTGATACCTCAGCCACCCACATAAGGTTTGGACAACACAGAGATTGCCCACCCAGAACCTCCCCCTACCCAGCCTACCCAGAGACAACAAAAGTGGGATGAGATCTGCCAGGACAGCAATTTAGAGCGCTGCCTGCTGACCCTCTAGGACTGAGTCCTCACATTTTCCCGGGGTGTTTCCTCTGCTGGAAAAGCCAAGCTTTTCCATTAGGGTTAGGTCATGTCCCTTGTCTGACCTTGCTCGTTGCTGGCCAAGCATTGTTCACATTTGGCTCCGAGCAGCCACCGTTTTCCTGCAGCATGCTCGCTCTCCCCTGGCGCTTTCTGGACCTGTTCCGGCAGAGCGTGGCAGACTTCCCGACAGACTGAACACCCACGTGCATGGTGGGATCGCGCTGGAGTTAGTTGCGCTGTTTTTCTGCTGCTGTGTTACTTACAGCAAGGGAAGTGTTGCTCACCCTCTCCTGTCACTGCCTTCAATCTGCACTTGGCAGCTTCGACTGCTAGGAAGAGGTGGCTCTGCCCGGCTTAAGGGGATGTACAGCCCTGGCTATCCACTCCTGAAGCGGCACGGCTCTGTGGGATCAGGGGATTTCTTATCAAGAAGAGCAGGAAGCTATGGGGTGTCCAACAGACCGGAGAGGGACAGACCCAGTCAGGTCTGGCGGGATGACAATCATTCCTAGTCATTACTCGGCAAGTGTTTGAGAAGAACAGCGCGGAGACAATCATCATTGCAGAGAAGCCGCACGATCACATCAATCCACGATGGCTTGGGACTTGTGTGGTTCATCTTAAAGAGAACAAAAGAACCTGAGTCTCCCCTGTGAATAGCCTCCTGCCAATCAGCATCAAGACTCTGAGAGCTAGGAGGTGGGGGGGGGGTCTCACCGGAAGTCCAAAAGGATGGCCCAGGTCAGCTGCAGAAGGCCTCCCACAGTGACAGCAACACCCCCCCACACACACGCCCCTCTTTAGTGGAGTGGAGGCTGGGAGCAATTGAAAATGGGGAAAAGAAGAAAAGAAGTTGGGAAGGAGGAAAGGGAAAATGTAAAAGGACAAACCCCCAATGTCCCCAGTGATTCTATGGGACAGAGTCCATCATAGCAAATCAAATCACCGTAACCCAGTGATGTCTATGCCTGGTACCCGGGGGATCACACTGACCAGGTTCCAGACCTCTCTGAGGTTCTTACCTGCTACACAGGTGACATGGAATCGGTGGCAGGGAAGGCGAAAACTCCGAGACTCCGGCTCCTGCCTACATACATTAATCTTCATTCTCTCACTGTCCCCCAGGAGAGACCTGGATAAGATGCCTTCCCTTCCTGCTGCAAAGCCAGGGGAATCTCTGGGGTTGCCCCTCTGTCCTGCCTGGCTGATGTCAGGGTCTCTCTATGAGGTCACCACCACCCCACCAATAAGCAGAGATCCTGCTACAAGCCTTTGTGATGTCACTGGCACCCCCACCCTTCTTTCGTAAGGCCAGTGTCCTGGCCCTGGCCAGCCTCTGTGGATGTTTAAGCGGCTTCCCCTGGATTGTTCCCATTACCCATAGCTGAGTCCAGGCTGGCTGGGCCATAACCCCAGAGGCTTCCCCTTTGCCGCACTCAGTCCATCATTAATTAGTAGCACATAAGGCCAGAAGGGACCATTAGAACATCAAATCTGATCCCTGCCTCTCCCAGCCCTTCTGTGTATCATTAGCCAATGAGTATTGGTCCAAGCGCACACCAGAAAGGCGTCTCGTCTTAACTAGACGGATCAGGAATGGAGAATCCATCTCTCTCTTGCTTTGGGAGTTTGTTCCAACGGTAAATCATCCTCCCTGTGAAATATTTGTGCCTTATTTCTACTATGAATGCGTCTGGTTCCCTCTTCCAGCCACTGGTCTTGTTCTGCGACACTAAACAGCCCTTTGATCCCTGACCTTTCTTCTCCAGGCTTCCTGCGCCTCGATACTTCCATGAAGTCACCTCTCAGCCTTCCTTTGTGGAAGCTGGTCTGATCGGGCTCCTTTCAGTAGCTCACAAGATGGCGTTTGTCTTCAGCCCTCAACACGTTGGGCTCTTTGCTACGCCATCTCCAGTTTCCCAACATCTTTTTAAAAGGTGGCCCCTAGGACAGGCTGCTGGTCCAGCCTCAGGCTATGTCTACACGGCTTTTTTTTTTTTTTTTTTTTTTGCGGAAGAGGATATGCAAATGAAACACTCATTTTTGAGGAATAAGGGATCTTGCAAAAAAGGACTTTTTTCCGACAAATGGCCCCGTCTACATGGGGCTTTTTAGTTGCAAAACCTCATCTGCAAAAAAACCACAGTGTAGACATAGCCTCAGTCTCATGGATGCTGTGTCCCCTCCCAGCCCTGCTCACTCCTCTGCTCATGTGTCTAGTGATGGCCTGGACTCACCCCAGTGTAGCCCTGGGAGCTCCCGGTGAGCGACTGGCCCAGCATGACCCCGAAATCCTTCTCTGAGTCCCTGCTTGCCTGGGAGCAATTCCCCATTCTGGGGTGGTGGCCAGGGTAGGACCTTGCATTTGGCTCTGTGAAAACCTGTTTTGTTTGCATGGGTCCAGCTTCCCCTGGGATCCAGATCGCTTCATGTCCCTGCCCTGGCCTCGGCCTTATTTCCCCCTCTGCTCGTATTTTGTCACCCACGTGGTCCCAGCAGGGATTCCATATTTTCTTGCAGTGCATTGACAATTATTGAAACAGTTAGTGCTTGAGAGCCTCGTTAGACCCCTAGTGCCACGTGCCTGCCCTTCTCTGAACCTTTTCTGGCCCCGCTGGCTGCTTTTTGAGACGTGGCACCCAACCCTCAGAGTATTCCGGGGGCAGGTGTTCCATGGATTTAGATAGTGGCACAGTGGGATTCTGTGTCTGATTTTCTCTCCCTTCCCTAACAATTTGCTAGCCTTTGTGCTTGCGGCTGCATAAGGAATCGCGGCTTTCAGAGAATTACCCCGGTGATGCCAAGGTCTCTGTCTGGCGCAGTAACAGCCAACTTAGGACCCAGCTGTGTCTGTCTAGCTGGGATCAGCTTTCCCAATGGCGAGTACTTGGCACTGCTCAATGCTGATTTTCACCTGCCTTTTTGTTCCCCGGCCACCCAGGTCTGTAACTCTCTCCAGTCTGCTTTGGACTGGATGTTCTGGGGTATCTTTGTAGCATCCGCCAACAGGGCTCCTTCCCTGTCCACCGCCTTTGCTAGATTAGAGAGTGCACTGCAGAGTGCAAGTCCCCAAGCTGTCCTGCCCATGAGATGGTTCAGGGCAGCTTCTCTGGGCCCCCTGTTCTGTGGGGCCCATGGCAGCAGCCCCAGTTGTCCTTTGGAGGGGACGGTCCCCCATATGGAGGTAGCCCAAGGGGCCAGGATGACATGGAGGATTAGCTGGGGGCCCTGGGGCCAGCATCAAGGATCAGGCCCCCCTGCCCTCACCACATTGGCAGGAGCCGCAGGATGCGGAGCGTTGCACACGGCAGCCGGCTCCCAGCTAGGTCACCCCGTGGTGGTTCCTAAACAAATGCGGTGAAATGAGCTGAGTTCTAGCGGGCGGTTCCAGTCCACACCCTCGCACCCTGAGGAGAGGAAACTGGCAAGAAGAACTGAAATACCCAAAGCAGTGGGCTTTGGGATCCTTCCAGCTTCTAGAGGAATCAGTGTAAGATCATTTACACAGCTTAGAGCTGCTGGTAATATGCACAGTGAGCATTTCCCTAATCTAATTCTGAAGATCTTTCCCAATGGGGTCTTACTACGTGGCGGATAATTTCATTTTGAACTAATGCTATTATGTGAGGGCTCTTTGTCTATTCCAGTCCTTAGCGAAGACTGGGTTTAAAATATGCAGAGACTAACGGGCTCCCTGGCTGTAAGGGGGCGGGAGGGGCTTGCTCCTGCTCCTGGTTAAATGAGGAGTAAACCTCCAGTTGGCTTCCCTAGGAGCAGGAGGGAGCCCTGCATGTTTATTCCATTTTGCTGTTTCTTTGTTTGCTTTTCAGGGCCCTTCCTCTTGCTGGCAAAGCAAATACAAGAGAACAAAGTTAAGCCAAACAGTCGAAGCCATGAATCAAACCCCAGGGCTGTGTCTAGACTGGCCGGTGTTTCTGGAAAATCAGCCACTTTTCCGGAAAAACTTGCCAGCTGTCTACACTGGCCACTTGAATTTCCACAAGAACACTGACTTCCTACTGTAAGAAATCAGTGCTTCTTGCGGAAATACTATGCTGCTCCCGTTGGGGCAAAAGTCCCTTTTGCGCAAAAGGGCCAGTGTAGACAGCTGAGATTTGTTTTCCGCAAAAAAGCCCCGATCGCGAAAATGGCAATCGGGGCTTTTTTTGAGCATAAGTGCATCTAGATTGGCACGGACGCTTTTCCACAAAAAGTGCTTTTGCAGAAAAGCGTCCTGCCAATCTAGACGCTCTGTTCCGAAAATGCTTTTAACGAAAACCTTTTCTGTTAAAAGCATTTCTGGAAAATCCTGCCAGTCGAGATGTAGCCCAGCTGATCTGTAGAAGTGGTGCATACGCGCGATGGGCCAGACATGACTTGCATGACAGCCGCTGCAGCCTCTGCTGGGGAACTCCCCAGTCTCAGACCTCTGGGAGTTGGCTTCCAGG